GGGAAATGACAGGAAAAAGTGAAAAGAAATGCCAATTAATATGCCAATTAAGTCACTCAAGGTCTTAATTCCAGGCCCTTCCTGGTGCCACAACGGGCTGAAGCACAGCACTACTGCAGCACAAGTTACATGCCCGGCCCCAGAGCTGACACACATGCCACTGCAGACCTCTTCTGTCTTGCCCCGCTGCTCCCTTCCGCAGTGTGCTTTGTCAATTGGCATGTTCTGCTCCCCACTCTGTTTCTGGTGAATCCTCTCATCCCCTACCCCCTACAGCTCTGGCCTGTATCCCAGTTCTGTATGCATAAATAAATACATCTTCAAAAAAAGTTCTATAATTCCAAATTTATAACTGCAACTGTTTTAGGTGGGAAAATTTCCCAAGTAGTTCTAACCAGATGTTCAGTTCTGCCACAAAAACTCTCCAGTTGAAGCAACATTGTACCTAAGGATTTTGGACATGCAATATTTTAGGCATGTCTTCAAAACTAAACATTTGAAAATGTGTATTTAGCCAAAAGAATGATAATGATATTTTCAAAATTTAAATCAAGTCCCTGGCATTAAACCTTTCAACAACCTCCAGTTCTACGGGGGAGCAGGGAATCCAAACTTTCTGCATTTGTACAAGGTACTGAATAATCACACTCTATTTCTCTAACCTCACTTCATACCAACCTTCCCCACTCTCAATTGGTACCACACTAAGTTCTTTCATGCTTTTACTTGTTCTTCTCTTAACATGGTTCTTTCTAACTCTTTGCTTTTGATCTTGAAGATTACCTCTTCAGAGAGAAGTTTAACAGCTTATTCCCATGTTAACTCATTATCTTAGCAACCAATTTTTCTTCTTTGTAGTACTTAGAACACAAGTACAGCTCTCTTTCCACTAGAGTGAATCCTTTTGTGTGAACGGATCTTACTTATCTCACACTGCTGTATCTCAAGTATCTAAAATATACTAGGCAATAAGAAGGTGCTCAAGTATGTGGGAAGAGAAGAAAGGAGAGGGTCAAACTTAGATGGTAACAGGTAGTCCAAAAAAATTAATGAATGCAAAGCGGGGAAATCCACCATAAAACAAAAACCAACACATAGAAAAACTGGTGGCTTTGATTTTACAGAAGTTGATTACAGCAGTAGTTAGGGAATAGGTTGATTTGTCTTCACTATTAATACCTCTAGTCTGTGGTAATAAAGCCATAATGATGAAAAAAATTGCCAGTTTAATATAAAATTTAAATATCAAAATATAAAATTGTACTAAATTTATATAAATTGTGTATGTTTATAAAAGGAGTTCTATCAAAATACATTAAAATATTGGGGCCCTCCCTGGTGGTGTAATGGGTTAGGACACAGCACTGCAAGCTGGCCTCTGCTGCTTCAGTGCGAGTTTGATCCTTAGCCCAGAAGTGATCCACATGGCGCGGCAGACCTCTCCTGACCCGCCCTCTGCTCCCCTCAGCAGTGTGCCTCGTTGGTCTTCCTGTTCTCCTCACTCTGTCTCTGGTGAGGCCTCTCACCGCCCCTGTACCTCTGGCTTGTTCCCTAGTTCTGTATGCTTAAATAAATCTTTTTAAAAATACATTAAAATATTAATAGATTATGTCTAGATGGCTTGATATTATTTTTTATAACTTTTTGTGTTTTTCACATTCCCTACATCAAGCACATTTATTTTATGATTGAAACAAACAACAAAAAACAATTATCATACTTTGCTGACTCTAAAGCTAATCATAACCAAAAATGAAACAATGCACTAACCAATTTTGCAAATTCCTATCTATTCATTTTTTAAAATCTTCATTTTAAAGTCTACTTATTATAATGACTTTTTTAGAAAAAGATTTATTTACTTATGCATACATAACTGGAGTATAGGCCAGAGGTGCAGGGGGTGAAAGGATTCACCAGATGCAGAATGGGGAACAGAACAAGCCAACTGACTAAGTACACTGCTGAGAGGAGCTGTGGCAGGTCAGGAGAGGTCTGCCACTTCATGTGGATCACCTGTGGGGTGGGGATCGAATTTGCACTGAAGTGGTTTTAGCTTCATAGTGCTATGCTTTATTTAACTCACTGCACCACCAGGGAGGGCCTGACTTTTTACAATTCTTTGCCACCTTTTTCTTCTAACCTTGGGAAATAATTTAGTGTGGTTTAAAAAAAAACAAAAACTTTCTTTTTCTTTTCACAGAAGTTTCTTTTCACAAACTTCTAAATTCAAACTGTCATTACCTAGTTGTGGAATGTTGAATATAGTTTCACTAACTTCAACTTTTCTCACCTGGTAAAAGAGAATAATATTACAACTACAGATATTTATAAAGCTCCAAGCTTAGTGACTGGTATCTGGAAGGGTATACATTTAAAATTAAAACAGCTATTATACCAAAAATAAATGCAGTAGAATATTATCTACTAATTACATTATAAGAGTTTAGCAAGATCACAATCAACTGGTTCCACTATATCCCAGACTAGCACCAAGCAAGCACATAGTAATTTTCAACATGTATTTGTAAATTAATTACTATCTTCACTACCTTTTTCAGGGAGATGTACATTAGGATTGCAGGAGAGTATTACTTTTTCTTTTTTGGAAAGTGAGAGTAACACTTACAGACCAAGTCAAAGATTAAATTATCTATCTCCACACTATTTTATGGTATCGAAAATGAACAAACACAGACAATTTTAAATAGCAAAGTAATGGAATTAGTTGTTTATGACAACATTTCTTTTTTAAAATTATTTTTAATAATATTTTTATTGATTTAATATTAGTTTATGTTTGCATTTTAGACGTATAGGATTTCTGCCCATCCCCCACCCCCTTTCAAGTGTTGTTGCTATGCTGAAACTGTTATTTTAGACATCAACAACTGATTTCCTGCTATAGGTGAAGTTTTTAACAATAATAATACCATCCTCTCACTCCTCTCATCCTATCTTCTCATTAAACTGTAACCCAATTTTTGGTTGAATTGTTAGTTTTTACATTGTTATGATTAGAGAAACACTGTTCACTGTAGAGCCAAGAAATTCAATGCAATGATGCCTCCTTTTGTATATACATATTTTTTCTTATTATGTGTCTGAGCTTTTACATCGGATATTAATCAGCGTTTTATTCACACATCCTATTAAAATAGAAAAAATACCTATTTTCTGTTTTAATTTGGAATCCTCATTTTCCTACTTCTTTCTGCTCTAGTTTGCACTGATCCTCAGAGGTTTGCTGTGCGAGTGTCATGTTGTCATAATCCTTCATTGTTTTCCACGGTAAAAGTATAAGAAGTGATTTTCCAAGAACCTGATTTTCTCCAATTTCCATCTCTATCTCTATTTTGGGGGAGCTTTCTTACAACCTTTCTTTCTTTTCTTTTTTTTTTTTTCACTTTAACAAAATTTCGTTTCCAAAATCTGAACTTAGACTCTGATCTTTCACATGCATCCTTTTTTCTAAGACAACTGATCTTAATCATTACTATTTTCATTTACCTATTTGCTCATTACTTTAAATTTCTACTTTCAGATTTGCTTTGTTTTGTTTCTCCTAATATGGTGAGAGACCTAATACAAACTATTAACTCACAGTTCATTATGAGTAAGGAAATAAAATGTTAAATGTTAAATGAAAATAGTTTTATGTCATGGTAATACTGTAGGGAGACAGGTAGTCAACGTGGCTAAGGCAGCAAGTTTACCCATTTAATTGGGAGTTGGGGAGGAAGGGCAGAAATCCCCTGACAACAGTATCTGGAAATCTTTTCTCCAAAGGTGATTCTAATATTCTGCCAGAATACATACCTGGAATCATGGGAACAGGATAGGTGGTATAAATGTCATTATTCAATACATAGGTTTAATTTTCCTATTTCTCTCTGCTTCCACAGTCTCTAGATTTTCCCACAGAAAATATAGCTCTAGTCTTTGCTTAGTAGGAAGTATGGCAGAAGGGTCCTGAGAGCCAAACTACCACATATACTTTTTTTTACTATGGTGTGATCTTAAAAGCCTTTTTCCTTTTAAATATGAACAACTATTTCAGTAAAAAGGTCTGTTTTAATAAATAACAGGAATAAATAGTAGTTAAAAAGAAGAGCAAAACTGATCTAACTCTTTACCCTATTGGCCCTTGAACAAATACCATTCTCCTGTGTATACTAATCATAGGGAAGTGACCGCTACGTCGACTAAGAAAGTAAATCATCATCCAAAACAGGGCACTTTTGAGAATGAGCAAGACAATACTAATAATTATGCCAGGTGGGCCCTCTCTGGTGGTACAACAGGTTAAGGTACAGCACTATGAAACAGGCTGCAGCTGCTTCAGCATGAGTTGGATCCCTGACTAGGAAGCTGATCTACATGGCACAGCTGATCTCTCCTGTCTTGTTGTCTGCTCCCCTCAGCAATGTACTTAGTCAATCTGCCTGTTCCGCTCTGCACTTTGTCTCTGGTGATTCTTCTCACCATCCCTGCATCTCTGGCCTGTACCCCAGTCTGTATGAACAAATAAATCTTTAAAAAAATAATTATGCCAGGAAATATGCAGTCACCCTATACTTCTTGCAAGTTGATTTTGTAAGCTTATATATAGCACATTACCAACTACATGAAGTCATCCTTGTTAAAGACATTCTTCATGTTAGTGTCTAATATATGTTACTACAGTGAAAACAAAGTGGAAAGGATTAGCAAAAACAGAGTAATAGTTTTTAAGATATTAATTCTTGCAAAGTCCCCAACAAACACACACATAAAAACTCCTTGAGGAATTCACATACCATCGTTCTGTACAAAGAAACTAATAATAATCCATATACTTCTAAACAGATAGGACAGAATAACTTTGCTTGCAAAGTTCTCTTCCTCCTCTTTTCCTCAGAATTAAAGGGGAAAGAGGAATGGTTGGAAAGAAAAGAAAATAGGCTATATTGTCTTCTACCTGAAGTAGTTAAAAGAGAAGAATCACAAAATGCCTTTACCCATTCCAGAGTCTTTCTTGGTGCCATCTGATATTATGTCTACATGATCAGAGTCCACATCATAACTAAAGAAATCATTCAAATAGGTCTTCGATCGCTGGCCACCAAATACATATAAACAACGATTTTTCTGAAAATAAGAAAAAGGACAAAGAAAAGAAGTCACTTTGATGAAGAATTCAGAATCCTTTCAAAAATTTACTCTGTAGAAGTGATTTACGACAGGTCCCAGGCAATGGAGTGCTATGATGGTATAAAGAAGAGTGAGGATGCTCGCCACAGATTACTGCTAAAAAGTTATCTCTAAGATACCCTATCAGTGTTCAAAAGCAAGTTACAGAATAATTATATAGGGTGCTGCCTTTGTGTAAGAAAGAAGAAAGAGATTACGTGTTTGTTTCTTTCTGTATAAAGAAACAAGAGAAACTAACAAAAGAGTGACCTGTTGGGGGAGGGACAGAGCAAGAAGACAGGAATAAAAACCAGCTCTCACTGACAGTATCTTGATTTATATCATGTATAAAACCATACATGTTTTTATGTATTAGAAAATAGAACTAACTGAAAGGAAATCTCAGAAATTAAAAAACAATAAATCTGTTTATATAAAGTTATGTCCAAAAGACAAACACATTTTTAGTGTTTTTAATTCATGTTTAACTACCCAGTAGTCTATATCCTATACAGAAAGCAATTTTAAACATTATTCAATGGTTTTGTTGCTAGCTTTGTTATTTTGTGAAGTATTATAGAAAGACAGAGGAAGTAATAAAACATTGTTACCGCAGAGCAGGGTTTTAACCTTAAAATATACACAAATATAAAATCAAACTTACTAAATTTAAAATTCTATAATCTTACATTTGAATTGGACTTATCAGTATGAACTCATGGCTTCATTTTTATATTATGAAAGAAGATATATATGTATATGCATTAATTCATGTGTATACATATGCATAAACATGTAGTAAGCAAGTACTCCTTCTGACCATGGATAGAAAAACTTAGGATATCAAATAGAAAATGGCAGCTTTGGACTAAACATATCAAATATATAAAATTTAAAGAGTCTATAATAATACTTAAAAAATTCAATTTACTTTTGTGCTCAATTTATCAAAGCACAAAAGCAATAAAGGAAAAGAATCAAATCTGTTGCCTATTCTAAGTGGTATACATATCAGGTTAGCCAACTGTTAATACATGTAAGCTTTGTAGTAGAACTTATAAGTTAATAAAATGTATAAGAAATGATATAATTTAAAAAAAAAACCCTTTTACAAATCCTAATGAAATCTAACCAATGATAATCTATGGCTGCTGAAGTCATTAGGTAAAAGGCTGGCAGGAAACTTTATAATTGATCAATCAAGCTGAACCCATGGAACAATTTTAACATAACCAAAATTATGACTACAGCATAATAACTGCCTCTTGATATTCTGCAGTCAGAACATTTATCAAGTATTCCTGTACCTCCAATTTGCATTCACCCCAAAAAGGAGCGTGAATCTAAAATCAAGTCTTGGGTCTAACTTCCAACTCACTGAAAACAGGGAGGATAAAGGATGATGTTAAATGACACTACAAGGATAAAATCCAGAATGTGGTTAAATTCTAGAACAAAAATTGTTTCTTTAATAAAAAAAACAAAGTGGTATGTGAGGGGGGGAGGAGAAATAGGAAGAGGAGGTACTCAGACTTAACAATCAAATGCAATACACTGATCTGAGAAAACCAAATATGATAAATACATTTCAGTATTTTAGAAAAAATATTAGTGCAGATTCTTATCTATTCTTATCTGTAATGATACACTACATTATTTTTACACCTAGTGTTAAGTTTGTGGCTGGTTCTAGCACAATAAAATTTAAGAAAAGACTTAAAAATCAAATAAATACCAAAAAAAGAAATGAAACAAGTTGGGATACATGAAAAATTAACAGCAGAATGGTTAATTGTTGAAACAAATGAGTACACAGGGATTTATTTTACTTTGCTTTATTGGTATGTTTAAAATATCTCAGAATATTTCCTAAAAGTTCTACTCAAAGAAATCCCAAGTTTTCTGCAAAACATTTGCAAGACATATAGGGTTAAAGAAATCCCTATATGTTGCTTTTATTGTAATAATTCCATAAAACTAGCTTTAATGTTATTTTTTTTACTTAACTCTAAAGGTAATTCTTAATTTTTCACATTTACAAAGAAGAGAAAGTAAGAACCGGTAAGAAAATTGATCTTTCAGTTACTAAGAGAAGTCAGTAAGTCTAAAAAGTCTAAGTGCAGCAATAGAAAACACTCATAATTAGCAAACAGTTTGCTGTTAAAGGAAGTTTCATTTTTTATCTATTGTTACCATTGCTATGGCAATCATTTATTTCTAATGAAAACTTTTGCTGTATTGAAGAGTTAGATTTTGCAAATTCTTTTTCCTTTTGAGATATACATGAGAAAATCACATAAGACAATGTACAGAATTCCTTACTGAATGGAACAGCATGCAGTGTCCTATCCGAGACTGGATGTCCTCAGGACCAGCATTACAGGAGTCCTCTCGAAGAAGTTTCCAGGTTTGACATTGACAGTTGAAAGCAAACAACCCACTAAATTGTGGTTCACTGGCTCTGCTGTCGTCTACACTTCCATTACATGTCAAAATTCTACCACCAAAGGTGTAGATCATATGTTTTTCTGAGTCCATACACATCTATCAGAAGGCAACAGATTAAACAACTTTAGATTGGTTCTGTTATATGTCTAAATGAAACTAATGAGTACAGTTTTAGAATCTTAAAAACAAACCAAAAAAACCCACCTCAACTTTGTGTTAATAACACTAAATACCATCCCTGATACCACCCAGAAGACATACAAGATGGACTTCCATTTTCCCCAGTAAGAGTAAAATACAATGAGTAAGAGAGTTTATGTTTTCTTGAAAAGTTGTAATTGTTACCAAATCAATAACAAAAGCGCTAATTTCTACATAAAAGGGAATACTGATCATACTCTGAATAAACAAGGATCTTAATCTATTTTTCATTTTCATTCAAAAACTCTTTTGTATTCTAAGCAAGCATCATATTAATCCTGCTGCCATTTAATAAGAGAACAGATAAGTGAATGATTCAGCCAAAGTACTTCGCATTTTTTTATAAAACTCCTCAAATTGTATTCTTATAAAGTAGTAAAACAAACAAAAAAGACACCTGCAGCAACCTGTAGACTAACTTCAATAAACAGTGGCTTCTGCTCCTTTTAACAAACACTAAATAATTAAATTTTCTTTGACATATGTTACACAATGTATGTTCAAAATCCAACCTTGATATTTTATTCTTTCAACTTGAGATTATGGTTTTTCACACAAATATCTGTGAGAAAACAGCTATCTGTCATAAGATAAAGAGAATCAAATTCTATTTAAAAGAATATGTAAGTCTTGAGTTGGGAATCAGATATTGAACACATATAGGATTATATAAAGAATACATAAACTGCACACAAAACATTTTTTTTTTGCTAAAGCATAAACACTATTATTCAATAGTCTCCTCCCACCAAATTACTTCTAGTATTTTTGTATTGCTGTTAATAAAAGCTACTTAATAAGTATAGATTGCATTTTTATTAAGATTCTACAATTTTCTGATCTTTATCACTAGAAAGGTCCACTCATCATTTCTCAGGTTTCTAGCAGACTTCCATAAACTAAGATGAAAATCTATTCCTCAAGAGTAAAATCTTGGTGAATATGGTTGAAAGACTGAAATGTAAATGTTCTCCTCGCCCTGGCATGTCCAAAAAAATGTTCCTATTTTTAATCTTGAAAGACTGTATCCTTTAGAGTGGTCATACTGAAGACAATTCAATATGGCCTCATTCAACTAGTCTAATACTATTTAGGGCTTCACTGAATCTAGGTCGCATTACCCTGACCTAAGACACAAATCTCTCCAAAGATCATGCTGAAAATACAAGGACTCAGTGTATCTTACCCTATTTACATTTTCATAAACTTACAAATTCATATTAATTTTGGTCAACCTCTGTTACTCAATTGTGGTGGTTCCACAACTCTATAAAACTGCCTATCTAACCCAGGGGAAAGCCAAGCCTAGAGACTGGTAGCTCAAAAAGCAAAAACACAGTTGTTTGTTTTGTTTATATCACATTTACTCTAAGATAGGAGAAAGAATGGACTAATATATCTTACACCTTTGTTGCATTGATATGCTGTTATTTAGTCCTTAGGGATATACTTCAATGACTACAAAGGTGTTTCTCTTCCCTTTCGAAGATATTTAATTTTTTTAAAGATTTATTTATTTATTCATACAGAACTGGGGTACAAGCCAGAGATGCAGAGGGTGAGAAGATTCACCAGAGACAGAGTGGGGAGCAGAACAGGCAGATCGACGAAGTACACTGCTTAGGGGAGCAGTGGGTGGGTCAGGAGGGGTCTGCTGCACCATGTGGATCTCCTCCAGGGCAGGGGGGGATGGAACTCATGCGGAAGTGGCTGAAGCTTCTTAGTGTTGTGCTTTAACCCACTGCGCCACCAGGGAGGGCCCGAAGATATTTAATTTTTATGTGGTCATTCTCTCACAAGAGTGAGGCATAAACATCTCTATCTTGGTGGCTTTTTCCAGCATACCAATGCAACAAAGGTGTAAGCTATTGTATTAGTCCATTCTTTCTCCTATCCTAGAACAAACATGATATAAAAAAGAGAAACATCCCCCCCTACCACCTCCTCCCCCAGTTACCCGTCCCTAGGCTTGCCTTGCCCTGGGTTAGAGTGGCAGTTTCAGTGGTTGTGGAACCACCACCTGCTTGGTTTTTGTTTCATACTGCCCACTGTACCACCTGCATAGGTTGCTTCTGTTAACACAGGAATGCAGGTGGAGGCCGTCTCTCTGGGAGATGAGCACATCTTCTCCAAGCATGGCCACACATGCACTATGCCAGGATGTTTGAAGATTAAAAAAACATGATTTCTTCAAGGACAGCCATTTAGGTTTATGCTAGGCACGCAGCAGATTGCCCAGATGAGCTTGGGCTAGACAGTCAAACTGACTTTCTCCCAAGACTATACTGACTGTGCCACTGTGCATTCAGGTAGTAACCCACCAAATGCCACTCCATGGAACTTCCAAAACTGGAATGACAGGAATGGCCTTCTCATTAGCTTTTCAGAATGGAAAGATCTGGTGCTTCCAAATGTGTGTGCATGAATCCAAATGGAGCTTTCCCTAAGATTAAACTACCATTATAAAAACAGCTACCTGAACTGAGTGTGTTCTGTAACCTAATTTTGCTCTTCTTCCTATCTCCTTGCATATTATTGACCTAAATTATATGCTATAAATCTTAAGTTACTAAAAAGACAAAAAGTGTTTCAATAACAGTTATCAAATAACAAGCATTAATCATGCTAGTGAATTTGACACTGTTCATCAATTTATGGTTTCCTTTTTATCTTTAATATCTATTTCATTTTCTATGTGGTTTGTGATTTTGAATTTCTGAGAAATGTTTCTAAAAAGTTTGTGAATTACTAAACTGCTAATTTGAGTGTCTTTTACTCAAAGATTTCTAGAAATCCTTTAAGTCAAAAGTTCAAAGACCAAATAGCCACTATCAGTTTAGGAATTTAATTTCTAAAATTCAATCAGTAATGAATAACCACTTAATTCCCCTTCCAATTTTCTTGATCTGAAATTATCTTTATTTTACTCTATCACATGAACAGAAGATAGGTAAAGATAGGCTGGTTTCAAATAAATTTTTTTATACATTCTGATTCTGTACTGATGTTCCTTTCATCCTAAAACTGCTCTTTTTCTTTTTCAAAGATTTATTTATTTATTTACACATACAGAACTGGGGTACAAACCAGAGGTGTGGGGGAGGGAGTGAGAAATTTCACAGAGTGGGAAAAGAACAGGCAGCATGACTGAAATACATTGCTGAGGGGAGCAGGAACAAGAGGCGGGGTCAGGGGAGATCTGCCACGCCATGTGGGTCATCTCCCTGGTGGGGGATCACACTTGTGCTGCAGTAGACTGCCATAGCTTCATAGTGATGTGCTTTAACCTGCTGCACCACCAGGAAGGGCCCGAAAACTGCTTTCTTCAGCAGTGGGAGGTTTCTTCAAGTTTACCTTGAGCAATTTTAATCATTCATTCACTCATTGCATTTCCATTCTGTCTAGAATCCTATTAAGTGAATATTGAAACCTTTTTCTCTGCTCATTTTCTCTCAGTTTCAGCTCGTTAATTTAGTAACCATTTGAAGATTAACATGTCCATTCCACTTTTAAATCAACTTACTAGATAAGAATTTCATTTCATCATTAAATCTTTAATTTGTAATTTGTCCAGCTATCCCCCCCCCCCTTGATGCTATAGTCTTTTGAATTGTTCTAAGTTTATCTTAATGGATCCTTCAGTTTACACCACTGGATGCTTTGTTTTGTTTTGTTTTTTTTGGTTAATTCTTAATTTGTTGAATTTAGTACCCTATCTCATACTAGTTATCTGAAATACTTGGATTTCTTTGGTTTTGTTCTAGTTGTCTTCATACTAGAGAAGTCCTATACATGGCTTACTGCATGTCCAATAGTCTGCTTCAAGGTACTAGGTGGAGAGAATGAGACATCATGCTGTGAAGGGTACTGAAGGACCAACCTACTGTCCCTAGAGAGTATTCTTTTTCCTGCCAGCTCACATTCAACATATGACCTATGGACACTTTTCAGTTAAATGTCCACCAGTCAAAATGGAGAATGTCCTCCTATTCAATCTCCAACTGATCAAGAAATGTTTGTTCTAAACTCTGTAACCTTTAAGACTCAAGTTGCTGCAATTGTATAGGTCTTAGTTTCTTACAGATGAATGTGATCTTATTTGCTTTATTTCTTTCAGGAATTCTCCCACTTTCAAATTTCGAAGTATACTCTTTTTCTTGTTTGTTAATGCTATTATTACTATATTCTCTACTGTAATTTTTTAAGATGTAGGCCAGGAAGACCATAAAATATATATTTAGTCTGCCAATGATCGAAAACGACCTAGGAAGAATTTCAGTGAGATGAGATCACCAATTCATTGACCAAAGTTTGTCCTGATATTTTCTTGGCAGCTCATATTCCATTTTCTAGTAATTTCCTCAAAAAGTATATTTGAAGGACAGTTTGATTTTCTTGAGTATATTCTAGATATTGCATTATTGTCTTCTGGCACTGAATGAAGCTGTAGACAAATGTGATACTTTGTCCAGCTGTCCACAAAAGGGCTTCTTTGTCTTGAATGCAATGTTACTAATTAAGTCTTAGAGTCTAATGCCTAAACCAATTTTTCCTGAATACAGCATGACCCTTTGATATATAGTCTTCTTTCTTTAGAAATATCTTCTTTCCCTGTTTGGAGTCCTTGTATGTCTTTCTCTTGCCTAACTGCACGAGATGGGATTTCCAAGTTATACCGAGAACCTGTGGTGATAGTAGACATCTTCGTCTTGTTCCAGATCTTAAAGGGAAGGCTTTCGGTTGTTCACCACTAAGAATAATATTTGGCTGTGGGTCTATCATATATGGCTTTTATTATGTTAAAGTATATCTTTTATATCCCAGGATTTTTGAGGGCCTTCATCATAAGTGGATGGTGAACTTTATCAAATGCTTTCTTGGCATCAATTTGATATGATCATATGGTTTTTATTTTTCTTTTTGTTGATGTGGTTAATTACATTAATTGATTTCTGAATATTGAACCATCCTTGTATCTCTGGAATAAATCCCAATTGGTTAGGGTGTATTATTCTTTAGCTGCATTGATAATTCAGTTTGTGAGGATTTTATTGAGGATTTTTACATCTGTGTTCATCAGGGAGATTTAACTGTAGTTTTCTTTTTGTATTATGTTTGTTTGGCTTCAGTATTAGTGCAATGGCTTCATAAAACTGTATTGGATAGTATTGACTTCTTTCTCAATTTTTAAAAGATTTTTTGTAGGACAGGTACCAGTTCATCTTTGAATGCTTGATAAAAATCATTTGTGAACCCATTTGTAACTGGGCTTTTGCTTATGGGGAGGGTTCTTGATTACTACTACTGTTTTCTACTTGTAGTTGGTTTAGGTTTTCTATCACTTCTTTATTAAGCTATGGATGAATATAAATTTCTAAGAACTTGTCTTTCTCTTCTAGAATATTGAACTTGTTGGCACATAAATGTTCATGGTAATCTCTGTCCTTTGGACTTTTCCTGTGTCTGTTGTAATTTTTCCTTTTTCATTTATGATCCTATTTGAGTTTTCTCCCTATTTTTCTTTGTAAATCTGGCTAGAAGTTTGTCTATTTTGTTTATTTTTCAAAGGTGTTTTGGTTTCATTGTTAGTCACTCCAATTGGGTGTATTGTTTCTTCTTTCTGTCACCATGTATAAAGGAATTCTCAGAGGAAGACTTTAATCTCTTTTATTTCTACTTTCTTTACTTATTCTTCATATTCTTTTTAAAGATTTATTTATTTATGCACACAGAACTGGGGCACAGGCCAGAGGTGCAGTGAGGATATTCACCAGAGACAGAGTGGGGAGCAGAACAGGCTGACTGATGAAGTACACTGCGAAGGGGAACAGCGGGTGAGACAGGAGAGATCTGTTGCACCACTGAATCACCTCCGGGGCGGGGATGGAACCCATGCTGAAGTGGCTCTAGCTTCCCTGTGCTGCACTTCAACCTGCTGTGCCACTAGGGAGGGCCTATTCTTCATATTTTTATGCTGTTATGTCCCTTGCCTATTCTTCTTTAGACTAGTAGTAATGTACTAATCTAGTAATCTAGTGGATTAGTTTTCATTTCTGAAAGTGGTTCTATTTTTCAATTTCTTTGCTGCATTTTTCAGCTTCACTTGCTCCACTATTTGGCCATCTCATTTTCATTCTTAAATGTATGTTTTGTAGTTTTATTCAGTTTCATTCTTTATTGAGACATTAATTCCTGTTAGAATATTATTATATATTTGTCAACCACTGTTCCATAAAGATAGGTTGTTTTTTTTTAATTCTTGTGAAAGTGTCTCTAAAAATTGGTGTTTACTATGCTTAAGTTTTTCTTATTTAAGTGAGTTAAATTTCCCTCAAACAGATAACAAAAAGTGAAATTGTTGTTCAGGGACTCCTTCCTCTGTTGTTACTGAGTTGAGTGGCTTCTTCAAAATATAGTACTTATATGACGTTGTGTTACTTCTTATTCTATTAATCTCATCTGGCTCAGTGGGTTCCATCCCAAGCCCTGTGCCCCCACTTCACAGGCCATTTAAAAAGGAATCACAGTCCCACTTATCATGGTGCTTCCCATACTTTTTAGAAGGTGATACTTTCTTGACATCTACTCCTCCAAAACTTTTTGGACACTGTCCACTGTCCACATGCTATTTCACTAACTGTCCCAGTGGCTGCTCTCAGGTCAACTCTGCCCTGCTCATGACACTTACTACTATGATACACCTCTGCTAGGCTCCCACTACATATCAAGCTCTCCCTTACCAAATTGTTTGAGTTTCAGCAAGGGCTTTGAGCATTTCAGTTGTTTTGGCTAAAGAACTGGGAGTTGTGGGGGGGTTTTTTGGCTAGTTTTGCTGACTATGTGGCTTGTGATTTTGTTTTACCTTATCTTTTTGTTTGGTTCTCACTGTTACTACAAATCATAGAAATAATAATTTGGAGGGCTTCAAAAATAAGCTGCCACTATATTCTTATTAAATCTAAAAGTTTTTGTATTTTGAATTCATCCTTTCTGCTAATCAGTTGAAAATCAAGTATTATCTAATAGAACCTAGCTTTAGAAAAATCCTATTTTATCAAAGTTGAGAGAAACAAGGGCTACATATAAAGACAATATGAATGTTATATTCAGGCTACCCCTAAGGTATTCTTTTTCAACCTGTGAAAATGAAGACATAAGCATCTTTTGTAAAAGAAATCTTTAACTACTTGAAAGCAAAAAATAAATTATTTCCCTAACAATGTTATCTGCTGATGTTCTGTTTTTAAAAGATCAGAACTAGACTAAATTTTTGGCATTCTTATTGTTCCCATGAACAACAATGAGGGTATCAATAGGGAGTATATAGCTTTGCATGCAGAGTACACTAATATAGAGCCACAGAAGTTTCAATAAGGGTATTTTGAAAATAAATCTTTTAATTCCCACCCCCTACCTACTTAATAGGCACATAACCCATTCCTCTTTTCCTGACCATTGTCTTCACACTATGGAAATATGGCAATAGGATAAAGCAATGAACCAATAATAACCAGTACAGATATAATAAGTAAAAACATTGGTTTTAATTCCTATGTAAAATTTTACCCTTAATCTAGATTCTGAATTCCTGCACCACCTCCCATTGCTCAAGTAGTCAATTGTGCTGTATGCATAAGTACATTGTTATAGATTGTCTTATTGTTATCTTTTCCTCTATGTATTCCAAAAAAAATTTGGCTATAGCTTGAGTCAAGTCAAATTAACTAATAAATTCAAAATGTTACTTTTTTATTTTGGGTACTGATATATACTAAGTACATATTCCAAGATAACAGTGATAATAATACTGATGGAGATAATGATGAGAGCTACATGCATTTAATAGTAAAATGGCTTACTATATTTCTATACATAGTACTCTTATCTACAACATTATTAGGATTATTCTATGGGGGCTGAGTCTAATCTCAATCTAATATATGTCAAATTTCTATTTTATAGTAAGTTTGTGGTTATATACAAACCTAAATACATTTCAGTTGAATTAAAGTTCTAGATTCCCAAGTTTTTGAACTCATAAAATAATTTGAAATTGCTCCTGGGAATGTAGAATTAAAAACTTTAAGAGAGTTCATTATTATGATGGTTATTTGATAATTATCATACAGCTAAATTGGTTTTCTTAATATATACTCTTTACATCTCTCTACACTGAAGTTTTTATAAATCAGTAATTGTATTCTTAGATCTAAATATTTTATCTTACACTAAACAAATGAAAAAATTTTTAAATAACTTACTAAAACAGTTATTTTTTTATCTGTCATAGGTATAATATGTGCCCTTAAAATCACTAACTCAGCAAAAATAGGATATAAACTTAAGAGTTACTGAGTTAATTCCATCATATATTAATCTGTGCACCAAACCTGATGATCAAACACCAACTTCGGTCCTCCATCAGCAGCAGTATCCTCACTGAGTAACATCCATGTGTTTGTGTCAATGTCGTAACGATAGAAGTCACTTTTCAGAGATTTGCTGTTCCTCACAGAGGAATCCAAATAACGCCCCAGTGTGTAGATTTGCCTTCGCTGAATGTCAATGCACATTTTATGACATGATCTGGCACTAGGACCATTCTGTGGAGGGAAAAAGAAAAGAAAAATATTCAAAAGTCAAATAACAAAATTAAATTTTCTTTTTTGTTGACTTTTATTGAACAGTTTGCACAGAAATTCGTATCAAGTCAACTAATGTAAGTAAAACATAGCTTTAAATGTAAGTAAAGCTTTTAATGTAAGTAAAAATGTAGCTTTAAATCTCCAAAGAAAAGAAACAATAGGAGACACAAATTTTACCAAGGAAATGTTTTAAGTTTATCAGGAGAATGATATGACTATTCTACTACCATGTCACTCTGTTCATAACACTTACATGACTTCTATTATACATTCCATTGTATTTTAGTTATTTTTACATGGAGCTTAATTCTCTAATACATGTACTTAAGAGTTAAGCTAAGTACATGAATTAGAGTACTATGTAAATATATGTTTGATCTTTTTTTTTTTAAGATTTATTTATTTATGCTTATAGAGCTGGGGTATAGGCCAGAGTTGTGGTGGGTGAGAGTCACCAGAGACAGAGTGGGGAGCAGAACGGGCAGATGTACTGAAATACACTGCTGAGGGGGGCAGTTGGCGGGTGAGGAGAGTTCTGTCATGCCATGTAAGTCAGCTCCCTGGCTGGGGTTTGAACTCGTGTTGCAGTAGACTCAAAGATCTCCATAACTCAGTGCTTTAACGCGTTGGGCCACCAAGGAGAGCTCTGATTTTTTTTTAAAGATTTTTGCTTATTTACTTATGCATACAGAAATGAGGTAGAGGCCAGAGATGAGGGGCAGGGAGAGGATTCACCAGAAACAGAGTGGGGAGCAGAACAGGCAGATCGACGACGCACACTGCTGAGGGGAGCAGCGGGTAAACAGGAGAGGTCTGCCGTGCCATGTGGATCACCTCCAAGGCAGGAATTGAACTCGCACTGAAGTGGCCATGGCTTGGCTTAACTTCACAGTGTAGCACTCTGACCTGCTGCGCCACCAGGGAGGGAACTGTTTGATCTTATAAAATATTTTTTTTGTATGTCTTATTAAAACTAAACACAAACAGGCCCTCCCTGGTGGCGCAGCGGGTTAAAGCACAGTACTGAGAATCTGAAGCCACTTCCGCATGAGTTCGATTCCCGCCTGCAGCCTGCCCCGAGGAGACCACATGGCGTGGCAGACCTCTCCTGACCTGCCTGCTGCTCCCCTCAGCAGTGTACTTCATTGATCTGCCTGTGTGTGGTGAATCCTCTCACCGTCCCTGCACCTCTGGCCTGTACCCCAGTTCTGTATGCACAAATAAATAAATAAATCTTAAAAAAAAAAAAAAAAAAAAACTAAACACAAACAGGCCCTCCCTCCCTGGTGGCGCAGCGGGTTAAAGCACAGCACTAAGAAGCTAAAGCCACTTCAGCATGAGTTTGATTCCTGCCAGCCCTGGAGGTGACCACATGGCACACAGACCTCTCCTGACCTGCCTGCTGCTCCCCTCAGCAGTGTACTTCATTGATCTGCCTGTGTGTGGTGAATCCTCTCACCGTCCCTGCACCTCTGGCCTGTACCCCAGTTCTATATGCATAAATTAAATATTAAAAAGGAAAAATAACTAATAAACACAAACAAGGACTCCAAGAATATTTAGAATCACTGAATTTCATAATTTGCTAAAATCACTACTGCAACATTCTCTTTTATAAATGAGGAAATATAAGTCCAAAGAAGTCCATCCTTTGAAAAATTGGTAAGGTGGTGACAAAAGTAGAATGTGATTGTAAATATTTGATTTCTTCTCCCCGCTCTGTCTCTGGTGAATCCTCTCACCCTCCGCACCTCTGGCCTGTACCCCAGTTCTGTATGAATAAGTAAATAAAACTTTAAAAAAAATGTTAAAAAAAACACTAATAGATAAGTCAAAACAAATTAGAGTACATTTAAAAATAAAGAACATCAAGTGAACAGAATTATGAAAGGGAGAAAACTCAAGAAAACTAATGTGTTAAATTTCCCCAAAATTCTGTCTGTGTTACTACTACATGTATGTTGGATTTTTCATTTTAGCCTTAAAGCAATTCTAAAGAGAAATACTATCATTATTTCACAGATATTAAGTACTTTTTCCACAGTCAAAAAACTAAGCTAGGCCCTCCCTGGTGGCGCAGCGGGTTAAAGCACAGCACTGAGAATCTAAAGCCACTTCCACATGAGTTCGATTCCCACCTGCCCCAGAGGTGACCACATGACGTAGCAGACCTCTCCTGACCCTCCCGCTGCTCCCCTCAGCAGTGTACTTCGTAGATATGCCTGTTCTGCTCCCCACTCTGTCTCTGGGGAAGCCTCTCGCCGCCCCTGAGCCTCTGGCCTGTGCCCCAGTTCTGTATGCACAAATAAATAAATCTTAAAAAAAAAAAAAAAAAAAAACCTAAGCTAGAGAATCTAAACTCTAATGTAAAAAGGGACAACACAGTGATCTCCCACTATTCCAGGCTGTTTTCTCTACAAGGGAAGACAAACATAAGCAAAAAAATAAAGATGAGACATTTGGCAGGAAGAACAGTTTGACATTAATATTATTAATGCAGATATTAAGTTGATTTGAATTCACAATTTAGTGTTATACTAATGTCTATTTTAAAACTTATTTTTAAATATTTTTGCCAAGGAAAATCTTCATTAGATAAGGCTAATGAACAAAAAGCAATTTTATTTGAAAGTGGACTTCTTCCATAATTATAATCTAAAAAACAAAGATGGGACAACATAATAAATCTATATGTATTTCCTAGGGTGTGGAATTTGAAATAAATAGGAGAGTAACGGAATTTCTTATTTCAGCTTAATTAGCAAAAGTGCTATGGCAAAATACACCATAACAAGAAAAAAGAAAATATAGAATAGAAGCAGCAGAACAGAAAACAGGCAAAAATGGAGAAAATTCAAAAAGTTGGTCCTTTGAAAGATTAATAAAATTATAAACAACTTGCAAGACTAGTTTTTTTAAAAGGAAGATAAAAACTGCCAACATCAGGCCCTCCCTGGTGGCGCAGCGGGTTAAAGCACAGCACTGAGAAGCTAAAGCGCCACTTCCGCATGAGTTCAATTCCCGCCTGCCCCGGAGGAGACCACATGGCGTGGCAGACCTCTCCTGACCCGCCTACTGCTCCCCTCAGCAGTGTACTTCCTCAATCTGCCTGTTCTGCTCCCCACTCTGTCTCTGGTGAAGCCTCTCGCCACCCCTGCACCTCTGGCCTGTACCCCAGTTCTGTATGCATAAATAAATAAATCTTTAAAAAAAAAAACTGCCAACATCAGAAATGAAAGCAGGAATATCACTAGAAATTAAGGAGCTACAATTTGGAAAGCTGGCAAATTTTAGCAATATAGATAAAATGGAAATATCCTTGTCGAATATAATGACAAGAGCAATACAAGATGAAAAAGAAAATTTAAATTCATTATTTCTGTTGAAAAGCTCAATTCTTAATTTAAAACTTCCCACAAAGAGAACACTAGACCCAGATAACTGTATTGGTAAATTTTATCAAATACTTAAGGAAGAAATAAGTATCAGCTTCATTCAAAAATCTTTTCAGAAATTAGAGAAACCCTCCAATTCAGCACATTCCTAACTTATTTTATAAGGTTGACATAACAATGAAAACAAGTAATAACAGTAGTATAAAGAGAAAGAGGAAAACTAACACCTAGGCAGTTTGCATTACTGATAAACAGAGACAAAACTAGTATTTAACAAAGTATTATCAAATAGAATGCAGCAATACAAAGGATACCTATCTAAATGTGGTTTATCTCAAGAGTGAAAAGCTGACTTTCATAAAAATCAATCAAGATAACTGTCACATTAACAGAATAAAAGGAAAAAAAATATTGATCTTACCTATCTATATAATTACATACAGAAAGAAAGCATTCGATTAAGTTTAATGCATATTCTTGGGGACAAACAGCAAATAGGAATAGAAAAAAACTTCCTCAATCTGATAAAGGATATATGATAATCTTAAATCTAATTTTTCAATGAATGTTGACATCTAAAATGCTATCCTGCTAATATCTGAAAAAGATCAGGAGGTCTATTCTCACCATCTCTGTTTAACATTATACTGAAAGTCCAAGTTGTTGCAATAAGGCAATAAAAAATAAAGAATTATGACAAGGGAAAAAAAGTAGAAAGGAAGATATAAACTATCTCTATTCACAGACATGACTTCTATACATCCTAAGTAATCAACAAAGAAATTATTAGAAATAAATGAATTTAGATATTAAAAAACTAATATCCTTCTCCCTGTTTGTAGCAAATAATGGGAAATTAAAATTGTTTCATTTACAGTAGTTTGAAAAAACAAAATATACCAAGGACAACTTAACAGTAACATTGAATACTTCTAATCTGAAAACTTCAAGAGTGCTGAGCAATAATGAAGAAGAGTGAAATAAAAAATTTAAAGAAACAAAGAGGTCTTACAATCCCTGACTTTAAGGAGTAGCCTACTGGGAAATGAATAAACCAAAAGACAATGAAACAGAATATAGTGCCCAAGAGAGACATATATTTACACATTACCAAATGATTTTTGATAAAGATGTCAAAGCAACCCAATGGAGAAAGAAGATAGGGAGTAGACAGAATTCTCATATATTGCAGAAGGGATATATAATGGTAAAAGTACTATGGGAAAGTTTTAACAGTTTCATCAATGGATGCTAAAAGGTGAAAGTTTGATGATTAACAGAATATTCCCACATTAAAATGTCTCCCCACAAATTAATCATTAATTATCGACTAGGAGAATATGGTGGGCACCTTCCTTAACATCATTCAAACTGACATAATGTGCCTTCTGATAGGATACTCTTAGGAAGACCCAATGTCATCTACAAGGTATTCCTGATAAAAATCCAATTGTAAGCAGACAAAATCAACTCAAAATATTCTACCAAAAAGTTGTCCTATATGCTTCAAATATGTAAGGAAGATGAGGGAATTGTTCATTGGTGAAGAAGCACAAGACTGAAATGCAATGCATGATTGAGAACTGGGTCATGTGTCAAGGATGGAAGTAGGGGCATCCATAAATGACATTACTGCGACATTATTGGTATAATGGTCTATATCTGAATAAAGACTGTGGGTTAAATTAAAGCACCAGTTCTGAGGATAGTTTGAGGGTCTCATGACACATCAAGATTTCCTCAAATTTCTTTTCAGTCTTATTTCCTTAATTCCTAAAGGCCACATATATGACTTTGGATATAGCAACAGACTGAATACAGAAGCAGATATGAATCCATCTCTTTAAAAATTTTCTTTTATTTATGCATAGGCCAAAGATAGAGGCAGTGAGAGGACCCACCAGACTCAGATCCGGGAGCCTAAAGGCAGATCCATTGAAAAACACTGCCGAGGAGAACAAGGGTGACACAGGAAAGGTCTGCTGCATCACATGTGGGTCAGCTCCCTGGCCAGGGATCAAACTCAGGCTACAGTGGTGATAACACTGAGACTTAAACCTTATGTCACTATGGAGGCCCACCTCCCTTTTATTAGGTCAAACATTAAAGAGATTTAGAAAACTATAAAACAAAGCTACTTGTTATATGATGTGTTGTCTCAAGCAAGCTGACCTAGCTGCTTTTTCCAGGGATCACTATATGTACTCGAAAGAAAACTCACAATTCAAGCATATTTATTCAAACGTTACAGTCATGGCAGACATAGTCTGAAAAATGAAGGAAGTATGTCATTTTGAAGGAAAACAATAAAATTTATTGTCAATGATAAAATGTACATCTTAAGCAAAAATTAGAATTTTAGAAAAATTCTACCTGCCACCTTTCTAATACTTAATAGGATTTTTCCAGTTGACAAATGTGGGATATTTTGGTAACATTATATAATAAAATATGTTAGCATTTGGAAGTTGTTCATAACTCAGACAATCAATATTTTTCAGTGAGTGATACCAGAATTAAGAAAAACCATGCATGGGTAAAAAACATACATAAAGACTAACAGAGACCGGTAGATTTCAATGTAACAGTAAAAAAAAAAAAATGTGTAAGCTGATAGGGTTTCAGAGTTTCCTTAATGAATAACCACTTGACAATTTGGGATACAGATCAAAAAGGAATATGTATAGTATCTTTAAAGGCTATTAAAAGACTATTCTTTCTATTCTAAAAACAACCTATACAAGATCTAATTTTCATCATATATTTCACATGAAACATGCCTAAAGAGATTAAATTCAGCAGCAGATAAAAGAATCTAGCTATTCTCCATTAAAGTAGACAATAAAGAGATTTATAAAAATGTAAAACTGAAGAAAAATATATTTGCAATAAGATATTTTAAAAACCTACTTGTATAGCTACATGATTATGCAAAATATTCTCTTTAAGAGCTGGATCATTCATTATCTTTCAATCTTAAGTGTGTCAAGAAATTTATTTAAGATAATGTGAATTAAGTCTATTTAAATTGTATATCATACTTTTAAAAACATATTGTGGTATATCATCAAACACTAACTGACTCACTGTGACAAAAGTAAAATTAGCTATATGAAATGCTCAAATTCAATTTTGGAAAGAAGATGAATTCATGCTAGAGTCATGTATTACCTACCATTAAATTCATAGATCACCAAAAGATTTTTGGGTATCTCTATGAAGAAAGTAATAATAAATTATATAAGATTCAACTTAAGTACTTTGTTAGCACTTAGCTCTACTGACTTAGTCACTAGTTATATTCTTAAAATAACTATTAACATAAATAAAGTGCTATAAATAAATCCCCATACCTGGCTTCAAAAGAATATTAATCTTACCTGAAACCCCTAAACATCTATCCCACCAAAGTACCATTTTCCTAAATTCTAGATTTATCATTCCCTTGCTTTTATCCATCATTAACTTGTCATTTAACTTATTTCATCTGTTTATTCACTAAGTAAGTATTTGATTCAAGCTTTAAGGAATCTGGAATCTAGGAAGGGAAAACAGGAATGCAAATAATCATTATAGTAATTCAAAAAATATCACAGATTATATCTATATACTAAAAGAGCTTCTAACTCTAAATGGAAAGTCAAGTAAGGCTTTACAAAAGTGAATTTTAAAGAGCAAGTAATTTTATACTAGAGGAAAGGTGGATGCATGTAAAACTGTCTATTAATTCCAGGGAAAACACTATTGCCAGTGGACACAAGTAAGTTAGTTGAATAATTCCAGCAACCACAAGTATAGCAAACATATAAAGTCAAGAGATAAGGCTAAAGAAGTAGTAGGGACAAAATGATGAGACACCTAATGTTTTTACTCTAAATAAAAGAATTTAAGATAAATGAGTTGTTTTGTTATTCTGTTATGAACATTATTCATACTTCCCCCTATGTATATCCCTTTGACTGTGCCTCTTCTTCATAGTACATCCAGTCACGCTGGAGTTGGTCACAGTACTTTTTTTGGTCAATGGGACCAAAGCCTAAGTCCTTTTCATCCCCTTTGTAGCTCTGACATTAGAATAAGCCTTAGCTAGTCCTCAAGAAGATAAGCAGTTATATAGTACAGAGCCAAGAGGTCCCAGTTAAAGCTATCCTAGACTAGCTAATAGTCAGTTATCTCTCCATACATGAGTGAGCCCTTCCAGTCAAAACAATGGCCCAATAAATCTGTAGATTTGTGAGCAAAGTAAATGCCCACTGCAATGTTCCTAAACTTTTGGGTATGCTTATAACTTGACAGACAAACTGTAATAAATAAAGCTGAAACAGAGACTAATGGTAACCATGGGTTTTCAAGCAAGGATGTCATGTGACCAAATATGTTTTTCAATAACTGTGCTAATGTATAAGGAATAGATTTGAGGATCAGCAATGAAGGCAAAAACGTCTAAGAAACCATGAAGCTGGAATTAGTATCAAAAGAAAAGGAAAGAAAAAGATTGCTGATAGGCACTTGAATACTAATTAGATGCGGTCAATGAATAGGAGGATTTGAGGATGAATCCTTGTCTAATTGTAAGAATAACTACAGATGTAATCAACCTGTATTAAAATAGTTAAAAAGAAGTTAAGCATTTTTAAGGTTATTTTTGTTGAGGATAATAATCATTTCCCAAAAAAAATGGAAGTTTAATACCTGGAAGGCAAAGGTTACTTTTGTGGGAATAGTAAATAGAAATTACAATTTTAACATTTTTGAAAAGATAAAAATTACCCAAATGATTAATCACTGGAACACAATGGATAAGCAAGAAATCAATTTTCTAGGATTAAAGATATAGCACCAGATTTTTTTTTCCCAAATTGCCTTTCTAGATTAAAATTAGTGAATCTAGAATTAGAGCTCTTCCTTTTTGATGTATAGTTACTACGGCTTTGTTACAGTTTATTTTTTACCTTGTAATCTGAAACTGTTGGATAGAGGATACAATAAAAAATCCTGTATGTGCTCTATACCAGTTTGTAATTATGCATTTATTTCAAAACTATAAATCCAGGTCATTTTTCATTCACTAAGTAAATGTTTTATGTATTTATGTATCAACGCACAGACACACCCATGTAACATACACAGAATTTTAAATAAAATACAAATCATTTGGGAACATATATATTCAAATAATGAGGGACCAGAACAGTAAACAAGTGAGATCAAAAGCACGTCTTAAGATGATCTCAAAGTAAGATTAATATTCAAAATAAGATTGTTTCTGAACTAAAGTAGTTAATAACTGAACAATATTAGAATATGACTTCCATTTACCTCTATAAAATAGATTTGTTCATATTCCAGTAGGTGAAGAATCAGGCATAGAAGCTAGAATGGCATTAATACTAAAACCAAACTAGTTTACCTCAAATTCTTCTTCTATCACTGCTAATAGATATTAAAGAAAACAAATCACCTGAAAAGAAGAGTCATATGCCCACACTGTGATATCAGATGCATGAAAAGTGAGAACTTGCCTCTTTCTCAGTGTCTCTGGAGATACATGTCCACTGGTTTTCCTTCACACTGTATGCCCAGAAGTCAGCAAGATCTTGTGTTCCATCCCATCCACCAAATAAATAAACAGTTTCTATAAAAATTAGGAAAATATGTATAAAAAAACTTCAGGTATATCTAAGTAAACCTAAAATGAGGCTTTTACAAAACATATACCAGACTAGTATTTCTTAAACATAAGTGGACATACAGGCTGTTGCAGAATCACTATTTTGAGAGATTTATAAAAACATATATGGCATTACCTAAGGATCTGATCCTATAGTCTTCAGTGGGTAAAAGGAATCTATTTTGAAAATATCCTAGACAATCTGACATGCAGCCCATTTAGGAGTTTTCTGTGTTAAGCTATGAAAAGCTTACACACACCAGCTTAACAAGGTAGCTTCTGATTATATAAAATTAAAAACAGGAGTCTCAGAGTAAAATGTAAGAAAGACATCTAGCTATTTCTAGGAGTTAAAAATAACTTGTCATTAAAACTATTTTTTCTATCTATTGCAATACCAAAACAATAGTTAAAACTAGCTTGAGTTAAAGTTAGGTATCTTAAGAATAAAGTGATGTACAGTCTTGTATTTCCATGGAAACTTGAAGAAATTTTTCCAAATATATTGTGTTATGTTTAACTCCTCAGAAATCAATCTTTAAAAGTCATTCTAGGTAACTTGAAATTTGGTTTCTTCTAACTCTGAAAAGTTATCTATTTTATACAAAGGTCTTACACGTCCACGACAAAAACTGATTCTTTGTTCAATGAATAGTGGAAATCTTTATACAAATGACTACATTACATCCCACCTTTCTTTATATAATAACCTGGCCTTTCTTTCTATCAAATATTTTCTCCCTTTATAAAATGTCTTATGTTTACTGATTATACAAATTCACCAATTACTTTTTTTTTTTTAAAGTTCAGTCAGGAAGTACAGGGAAACTAGAAAGTCATCTACTCTCTATCATACTACCTATGCCTATGTATGTGGACATTGTCATCTAAATTATATACCACAGCGAAAGGTTACAATTCAAAGTGCAACTGGAAACACTGCAAAAGCATTTTAAACTTGTTGCTATTGAAAGTTGGTATCTCCTGAGATTTTTCTCCTATTTCCTAAGTTTCTAAGTGAAATTCCATTCTATACCCAATAACATAAGAAACTCAAAATAATGCTTTGGCTAAGGAAAGATCACTGAAATAAAACTGATTTCTAGTGCTAACTGAAGATGATCTAAGAGGTCTCTTAACATCCCCACATCTGTTTCTTCATTTATAAACCTCTCAATGTTGTGGTAAAGTTCCTCAGACATGGTTTACATAAAAACATTTCAAAGACTGTCAACCACAAACATCATGTCTACCTTTAAAACATGCTCCAAAAAAATTGTACTTACTACTACAGCTGCAATAAAAACAATATAACTATCTGATTCCATCTTTATCTCAGAACCTAAAACACTTTGATTCTGTATAAATGTGAAATAATGGCAATTATTTTGAATTATTAAAAAGCTGTCATATATCAGATCTATGAAACAATCCACTATCATCAGTTAACAAGCATTCTGTTTCCCAAATGGTACCTAGTAATGCCCAGATCTTAGAATTATACAAGAGAAAAGCAAAGAAATTTCATCTGATTTACAATTTATTTGCCAAAAGCTCACTATAAAGGCAATTAGCCCTGTTAAATTCTGAAGCCTGGAGAAAGAGGGAGGTATATAACTAAGATAGCAATAGCAAATGACCTTTTGTTTTATAGTGTTTCTGGGCACCCTCTGGATAAGGTTACCCTGGTTCATTAACTTTAATAACCCTTCCTCTTGGGTTCTGGGTTCTCAGTGTTCTTTCTGAAAAGCAGGTCTCTTTGTACGCATAAATTCTCACAGCACAGAAAACCCACATTTCCACAACAGCCTCATTGATAGCTGAGCAAAATAAAATCTGGCACAGAACAAGCATCCCAATGGAATTAAGCCAAGATGTCATTCTTGTCTGTGAATGCTTTGTGATCCCAGTTGAGATTTAATAGTAAAACTCAATGAATCAGATGGAAACGAGACCTTTTGACATACCTGAATGAAATGCATAACTAATTTTTAATTAAATTATCTAATCATTTAAGTCATTCACAAACTTTAAGTCATGCACTATTATCTAGAAATACCCAAAATATATTATGGAATGCATTAATGATATAAAAATCTTCCTGAGAGAAGTAGGAAAAGTAAAAAGGGAAAATACTAACATTAGCAACAGAGTGGTAAATTGTTCTAGTGGGTGACCATTCTCATGTTCATTGATTACATAACAATTCATGTACATTTCTGGAGCAGTATAGTCCTCTTCAAGCAACATCTTTTCTCTATAATTTTTTCCTAAAGGAGCACAGCTATATAGCATTATCCATTTCTCCCAGCATCTAGAGAAATGATCAGTCAATATTTTTTGAATCCTTTGAAATGGTAAGGTCCTTTAAAGAATAAAGAAAAAGAAGACATAGTCCCTGTCTTCAAGGAGCTCACAACCTAGTCAAGGATATAAAAGAAGTACATATGTCACTTTATTGCAGGGTTAGACTAGTATAACAACGGTCAAAGGCACCAAGTACGGTTCAAAAGAGAGAAGAGTATATCTAAGTGAGGAGACTTGGAAAATGTTTTCTGACCTATGTATCAGAGGGTAGATTTGTTAGCATAATGAGACAGAGAAAAGGATTTTTCAAGCTGGGAATAAAAAATAGAATAAAGGAGTAGGAAAAATAAAAGACAAATTATTTAAAAAGCCAGGGACTCTGAGAGTCAGACAGCCCTCACAATCACAGCTCTGTGATCACATTATGTGATCACCAAATTCCTAAATCATTGATTGGTCTCTTTGCTTCTAAAATATAATACAGTACCTATCTCATAAGGCTACTGTGAGAATTAAATAATGTATCCAAAGTGGTTAAAATTGCAATGCCTAAATAGATTGTACAATGTAAAAAGAAGAACACAAAGAACAGTTGGTAAAGATGAAATTTAAAAGACAGACAGTGGTCAAATAATGGGAGGAGTTAAAAGACAGTATAAAGGTTTTAAACTCGACTCCACAGAAGGAGAGTGGCTACAAAAGACTTTGGGCAGAAGTAAAATAAGGCCAGATCTGAAAATGCAGGATATAGGACTAAGTAAAAAGGGGGGAGCCAGGGGAAGGGAGGCAACAGAAGAAAATTACCAATAAGAACCTATGTCCAAAATATTAAACCACTTCATTGAGTTAAATTAATCAATCAAGCTTACATTACTCAGGCCACAGTGGAGGGGGGAAACCAACCATATTCTTTGGTATAGGTCTTTTCAGCATCAGTAAATAAACATGACAAATTCTAACTTCCAACCACTCAAATACACTAAAAACAACACAGAAATGTTATACATCAGCAGATACTGATACTGCTTTACTGCACAAAGAAGTAGGATTTCTATTTTATGAGCCCAATTACAAGACCTATATTCTTAGCAGTAAGCCATCCGGTGCTGGTTGCCTAATCCTCCACAAGATGGCACACTGTTTTTGTAATTAAATCAGATTTTCCACTTTGAAAATCTGAAACAGCATGATCACTGTTTGAAACAGTGTAGAATGTATATGCTATGCAACTGATATAATGTAAGCCTAAACTTAGGCAAAATTCCTGTGTCAAAAGGAAAGAGAAGGGTTACCAGGCTAATGAAGGAAGTTAGCTTAACTCTTACCTTTGTAGAGAAATCAAGAGAAAAACAAATAAAATGTTTAAAAAAAAGTTTTTTAAGAAATACAAATAGTCAAGACAAAAAAGTGCTGTCAGGATATTCAGTTTAAAATTTTAATCCTTTTGTTAGTAAGTAAGTAATTTAATCCTTTTTAGTTAGTAAGACCTTAAACTGACATGAGAACTTTTGGAAAGCAGCTATGCTCACTACTATACGACCCACATAACATGAGAACTTTTGAAGAGAGAAATAAATTAGAAGGGGAGAAAGGTTTTGTATACTTTTTAACCTTACCTTCTTTAGACATTCCCTTGAACTCTCATGACCCAGCAGATTATTAGCTGGTTTAACCTGCCTTTTTTTTTTTTTTAATTTATCTACCTTTTTCCATCTCAGTTGTAATCCCTGTGGACTTCCCATCATCAAATCACCCATGTGCCATCACCATAGTCCAGTGCACTTCCTTCCCTCCCCCCACTGTTTTTGATCCCATTCTCCATTCCACACCCTTAAATGTCTCTGGTATATAGTTGTTCATTATTATTATTATTGTCTCCCCTGGTCCTTTATACTCCTGCTATGAGTGAAATCATCTAGTATTTTTCCTTTTCTTTCTGGATTATTTCACTCAGCATTTATCTGCCTTCATTTTAACAGAGATATATGCTTACAAAAAGCTACTATTGTTATAAAAGTAAGTAAAAACAGATCTTTAGGCAAATTCAACATTTATAGTCACATTTTCTGTTAAGTTGTATTTTCTGTGCATGAAAATATACTTTGTATTCTTAATTAACTAAACTTCAGAATCCCTTCTAATAATTGCATAAAGAAGATTTTTATGTCATACTTAGCTACAGAAATAGTCATAAGAACTGATTTGTAGTTAACTACCAAAAACCATGGTTAGCTACTTTCTTCAAAAGTTTCTTTATGGATATCAAGGAAAATCATGTTGACAAGCAACACCTAATCCTTCAACTTCTCTTATAGATATTCAGTATTGGACTTCTGTTGCAGTTCTACTACTTATTCAGATGTAGGGGTGAGAAAAGGCTGGTACTATATTTCTCAAAATTCAATGAGAGTTACACAGCAAAGAATTGCCTCATTCAATAAATATTTATTTAGTTATACTAGACTTTAAGATTTTTGGCTCCTTTAAAAGTTTCTAAATACAGATTTATCATCACCCATGGGCCAAATAAAGCAAGCCTGATCCAGCATTCAAAAAATTTTAAGCAAAACAAAAAGCAGTCAAACATATACCAAGTGACTCTAAATTTAAAAATCCCTCAATTAATAGGATACACAATACAGATATGTTGTTCAGAACAGAAATATTTGCTTAAAGATATATTTCTAAAGTACTTCTTTACTGTTTATAAACTAGTTCCAAAACTAAAAGTATGGATACAGGTGAATTTTGTAAACCTTTGTCAATCTATAATAAGTCTTCAGAAGCTATCAAAAAGACATTACTTCTTAAAAGATTCAATCTAGACTAATACCCCATAACTATAATACTTATCCTTATTGTGCTTTCTTATAATTACTGCTTATAAAACAAATCAAGTAAATATTAAAACAACTCTTCTGTCCTTAAAATATTTTTGAAAATATATGCTATCATGCCATGCTCAGCTACAGAAATATAACCACATGAATTGATTTGTAGTTAACCATCAAAACCCAAGCTTTCTTCAAAAGTTTCGCTATGGAATATCTTTGGTTGCACTGCTACCAAGCGTCTGCTGGAATCCTAACCTCAATACATGAAACAAAGATAGTACAAAAATCTACACATATTTTACTTCCAGGATATCTGCTCTGAACGATTAGCTTTTAATCCTCAATGACTCTGTTCACAGTAAATTCTGTCAAGGCATTGCCTGTCATAGGAATCTTTATATTTTCCATGTCCAAAGTTCACTTATTAAAGAAAATGGAGGAAAATTATTTTCTCTTTTCTTCAAATATGGGCTTTACTTACTGTATACAGTACATATTTCTGCTTCCTCATAAAGTGACCTTTAACTACTTAAATAAATCACACTACTTTCACATTTAAGGAAAGTTATATTTTGTTTTAAAAAGTTTTTCAAATAGGCCCTCCCTGGTGGCGCAGCGGGTTAAAGCACAGCACTGAGAAGCTAAAGCCGCTTCCGCATGAGTTCGATCCCCACCTGCCCCGGAGGTGACCACATGGTGTGGCAGACCTCTCCTGACCCGCCCACTGCTCCCCTCAGCAGTGTACTTCGTCGATCTGCCTGTTCTGTTCCCCACTGTCTCTGGTGAAGCCTCACACCGCCCCTGAGCCTCTGGCCTGTACCCCAGTTCTGTATGCACAAATAAGTAAATCTTAAAAAAAAAAAAAAGTTTTTCAAATAAATGTTCTTTAGTATATTATTAGCAAATTATTTTCATTATGACTAAGGAAGAAAGAAAATGGCATCCTAAAATATACTATGTATTTAAAGGAGAGCAGCTACTGTAGACAACCTAAACAAAACTTTCATCTCTGGGCCTTTTGGTGGCAGAGGATAAAGTCTCAGCACTATTAAGATATGCCAGCCACTGCTGCATGAGCTAGATCCTGGCCAAGGAGTCGGCTTACCTAGTGCAGTGGACCTCTTCGGAGTCTCACCCGTTGCTCCCCTTAGCTATACATGTCAGTAGGTTCCCCACTCTGTGTCTGGTAAGTCCTCTCACTACCCTGCACCTCTGACGTACACCAAATCTCTTGTACGCATACATAAAAATAAATCTTTAAAAAAATTTCATCTCTATTTTCCTAACATATTTATTTTTTCTGTATAAAATCAATTTGCATATAAATCTAATTCTTTAAAAGATAAGTATATGGCCCTTCCTGGTGGAACAACAGGTTAAAGTACCACACTATGAAGCTCTCCAGCAACTGCTTATGAGTTCAATACCCAGCCAGGAAGCTTACCCACATGGTGTGGCAGACCTCTCCTGACCCGCCAACTGCTCCCCTCAGCAGTGTACTTTGTCAACCTGTCTGTTGTGTTCCCCACTTTGTCTCTGGTGAATTCTCTCACCCACCACACCTCTGGCCTGTACCCCAGTTCTGTAAGCATAACTAAATAAATCTTTAAAAACAAAGTGTGTATGTACACACACACAGACACAGGACTCTTGGGTAGGAAAAGAGATGCCATTAACTCTACAGCTGAGTCAAGTCTACTTCTGTGGGAGGGAAGGGATTTCAGAGGAATGAATCATTCCCAGACCCTAAACATGCCCTTAAACCATCTCATAAGTTATTGCACAAATTTTGCAACTAATTTTTCTTATTACTTGTAAGTAACATTTGAGAAAATGCAATAATGCCAAAATTTTTATGGTTAGTTATTTTATCATGTAAGTCAACAAAAACAAACTTCATTTCTGAAGCACTATGAGTCAGCATAACACAGTAATAGAAATGAGTATTTATTAGACTTGGAAAAAAAGTAAAACATTATTTGGATGGAAACTGTCACTCTATAATGCTAGAGCTTATATTAGTAAAGTTTTCTAAAATAAAATAATAAAATAAGCTTACACTAAATCCTTATCATTGTTTGATTTTCAAGATGATAATTTAAAGCCTATAAATATGGTGTTTAGCTGTTCTAGGGCATAGAAACCTAAAGAATATTTCAGTACCATGTTACAGAATAAAATTTAAAAGGCAGCAAAGAACTAAAATTATTTATAGGCTTGTGAATAGTGTTTGACAATTAAAGGATCTACCAACACATAAGTTACTTAATTTGATATTTTCTCCCTTTTACTATATATTTCACTTATCTTTTATTATACTTTCCATAATACAATTAAAATATAAATACATTAAGTCTTCTATAATATAAAAATACTCAAGTTTACCATAAAAATCAAGCACATTGAAACTATACACTCAAAACACCAACCACCACCAATTATAAAGGGCTACATATTACATTTCCTGTAGGTTATTTAATTTGTGCAGCAATCTCCCTTCTCTTAAATGTCATTGTCAAGTTTTGGTTATGCCTGTAGCTAGTGTTTATCTTCTTTGCTATGTGGTTATAGGCAGTAACATTTACCCATTGTAATAATATAAATAAGTATATTCATGTTTTCCTGGTATGCTGAAATGTATAATTTTTTTTTAACGTGTTTGCCATTGCAAGTAAGTATTCCTCACCTGTTTGAACATCAATAACCATCTGATGGCCCCCTCTCATTCCTGGTCGGTTATCTTCTCCATCACCTGAAGTAGAAATAATATTTTCTTTTAAAGGAACTACACTGAACTGCAAATCCAGATTTCATTCATAAATCTGTAATGAGCAGTAAAAACAACATATACTTATTTTTTCAATAGCAAGCAAAAGGACTCATAAAGGAAGTAGGAAAGACAGCTATGTTTACAGTATCTTGTTCTTTTTCCTTGTTGTTTTCAAGTTATTAATGCATTTGGCATATTTTCAATGTGTTTATGAATAGTCATATCAGCAAAGACAGGGATAGTCCACAAGAACGTAAAAAGAAATTTGCTGAACTGCTAAAGTAACAAAGGGAACGTGTAAAATATTACAGAATCAGATCTTAGGATATACCAGGAATAATAAATTAGCATAAATGGTGGTTTTAAAAGTCATAAAATCAGTTATTGAAAACTAACACGATAATAAAATTTTATCTGAATGATAATTCCCTTAGTGTTTTAATTTGTACCAATATTTCAAAAGTTAGTTCCCAAATAAATAATTTACCAACTGTTTCATTGGAGTGCACTAAGAAAATATAAGACATTCTTCCCTTTGATTCTAATTCCCATTACAGAGTTTAATAAGAAAGTTTACATATAATCAGTGAAACTAAATTTCTGTAGAAAACTACTATTAAATTATATCTAATATTACTTTCTAGCCAACCCTCTTATATAAATGAAGATATAACTTCATTTTAAAAGTTCAAAAGGTTATTAAAATCTTATTGATATAAGTGGATTTTAATGTCTTATAAACCAGAAAGCCTGAGGTTTTTTTTTTATAACTCTCCCATTAACTGAAACATATTGTTTTCACTAGTAATTTTCTCAGTGAGTGTCAGCTTTCTCCCATGTAAAATAGGGGACACATCCAACTTATTACTCATTTTACAGGAGAATTACAAAAAGAATGAAATGTCAGATTCTACATATAAAAAAAAAAAGGTAAAGCTTTCTCTACTACTATGTTTAAGGGATAACCATTTAGAAGTTCCCTACAAATTTTTTTCTTCTCTAGTAGTTCAACTTAGAATTTGAAGTTTACTATCACTGAAGTCTTGCCCTTTTCTTCTTTGTTCTCCTAAGTCAGTATTGCTAATTTCAAGGAGAGATTAAGAAAATAATAAAATTAATTTATTGTATGTTTCCATTTTTATATTTAACCCATTCACTATTAATTCACTTTTAAATATACAAATCCAGTCTATTTGCTACAATGTTACTTTGAACAAAATTTATATGTAACTGATAAAATAGGAGAATGGTGTTAATTCTAGATTCAAAAGTATAGATTCAAAAATTATAAATTCAAAAGTAATTCCCCCCAGTATATTCATGTTTTACACCATCAGAGACAGCTTTTTCACAAATAAAAAGGCCTTAGTAATGTATGAAAATCATAGGAAAAAAAGCTGAATAATAGAACTGCTTTTCTTTTTTTCTTTTTTTTTTAAAGATTTATTTATTTATGCATACAGAACTGGGGTACAGGCCAGAGATGCGGAGGGTGAGAGGCTTCACCAGAGACAGAGTGGGGAACAGAACAGGCAGATCAACGAAGTACACTGCTGAGGGGAGCAGCGGGCAGGTCAGGAGAGGTCTGCCACACCATGTGGTCACCTCCGGGGCAGGCGGGAGTTGAACTCATGCAAAAGCAGCTTTAGATTCTCAGTGCTGTGCTTTAACCCGCTGCACCACCAGGGAGGGCCTAGAACTGCTTTTCTTTAACATATCTAAGAATTACTACACTTTCTACTATGTTAGCCATTTGGCAAAATAGTGAGTGCAGATAAAGAAGTAACAAAAACTTCCTCCTGTACCAAAAAAAAAACAAAAAGCAACAAAAAAAAAAAACCAGTTTAATGGAGATTTTACCCAGGAACAATTTTTTTTAAGCTTTGATGAAATGGTTTTAGAAGTAAAGCCCACTGGGACCTACAACTAAAAGAAGGTACATGAACCCCAGGATTTATAGATTTAACTGTACTAGTATTCATTTTTATTAGGATTACTATACTAGCTTTTATCAGAAATTGATTATGAAGTTTTACAGGTTTGGATGTTCCCATTTCTATTTTTCTTATAAGTCCTATTAGCTTTAATGAATAATTTTGCAGAACTTAAGGTTTTTCAGGAACATATGTTTGGCATTATAGAACAACTTATAATTATATAGTGTGTCTATAAATGCAGCTTATGGTGCTATTCTGTATAAAAACCACCCAACATTCTGTTAAAGCAGTAAAACAAAAAAGTTTTTAAAATATATTTTTTTAAAGATTTATTTATTTATTTATTTATTTATGCATACAGAACTGGGATACAGGCAAGAGGTGCAGGGGTGGTGATAGGATTCACAGAGACAGAGTGGGGAGCAGAATAGGCAGGCTAACAAAGTACACTGCTGAGGGAAGCAATGGGCAGGTCAGGAGAGGTCTGCTGCACCATGTGGATCACCCCTGAGGTGGGGATTGAACTTGTACTGAAGTGACTGTGGCTCACTTGCAGTGCTAAGCTTTAGCCTGCTATGCCACCAAGGAGGGTCTTAAAAATATTTTAATTTAATTAACTGTGCCATCCAGTTAAGGGACCTATGTCTTCTTTTGAACAGCTGCTTTTTATTAACTGAGTACTGTGGAACTTGAAAAATAAAAGTGAGACATCAAAGTACAACAATTAAAGCGCTCAACCTAGAAGGCAGGGCTTACCTTTGGTACTCTTGGGAATTATCTGACTCCATCGTGGCTTATATTCTTGTTGACTGATGTACTGATTGAATAAGCCATCTGCAAATATCAAATAATGAGAAAGAGGTATACCTTAACCAGTTTTCAGTTTTTATCAGCAAAAAGAAATAAAATATTGAGATAAGGGTAATTATTAATATGCCAATATCAAAAACATGTCAATGTAGTTTCAATGCTACCTCAAATATAAATTAGTTGACACAACCATGTAAATAAATTGGTTAGTGGCAGCTCATATTGAAACTACTAGTTTTTCCCCATTTCTGTCACTTATATACAAAGAAACTAGAGAAGGAAATAGGAAGCTCAGCAACTGTGACTACAGCTTTGTAAGATATCGTCAAGAAAATAACCAAGTTAAATCTTCATTCAAACTTAGTATTAGTATACATGCTGTCTTACTTATTTAAATATACAAATAACCATGTGCCCAAGGCATTGTCAATTCTACTTTATAGACAAATATATTTGAGGAACTTGACCAAAATCACACAGCTCTTAAATTGATGGAGCCGTGACTCATGCTTTTCACTATGCTTTATTACTTCTCGATCTGTTTCACCAATACTTAATCTACTTCTTCAGAGTTGTTACACTAGTTACTACAATGATCACAGAGGCTGTACTCTCCCCACACATCATTCTACCTTAAATAATTATCCAGCCTTAATCCCAACCCCCACAACAAAGTTTAGCTGAAGAACGTTATGAGTTCCAATTCTGAAAATGAAAGATGAGGATCTTCAGAGGGGGCTCCTAGGAAATGTTTCTTTACTTCTAAATGGACATACAGAGAAGAAAAAACTACTTTTATTCATCAGGAAATGTGCATCTCTGTATACAACATACCCAACTACTACAGTCAATTTGTAAAGGTGTGAGAATAATCTCTACAAACAGAATATCGAGATAAAGAAACTCAATGAAAACAAATAACCAGTTACGAAATCTATCTTACCTCTGGACTTCTTGTTACATAACACATATATACTTAATTAAATTGGGGGATCCAGTCACATAAGCACAAACAGATTATAATTTTAAAAGTCACCTTTACGGGCCCTCCCTGGTGGCGCAGCGGGTTAAGGCACAGCACTAAGAAGCTTGAGCCACTTCCACATGAGTTCGATTCCTGCCTGCCCTGGAGGAGGTCCACATGGCGTGGCAGACCTCTCCTGACCCGCCTGCTGTTCCCCTCAGCAGTGTACTTGGTTGATCTGCCTGTTCTGTTCCCTGCTCTGTCTCTGTTGAATCCTCTCACTTTCCACATCTCTGGCCTATACCCCAGTTCTATATGAACAAATAAATAAATCTTAAAAAAAAATAAATAAAAAATAAAAGTCACCTTTACTATAAACTCTTGTCAGTTGACTCTGACTTTATTCTGAATTAAGATTTTTTTCCTTTTGCTTCTTTAAGTCATTGAAAGTAAACTACTTTAAAAAATAAAAAAAGTAACTGACTTCTTCATGGCTCGTATACAAGTGAAAACAGTGTAATTTAGAGAACTTTCCCCAATTTTTTTCTTTTTTTTTTTTGTGAGTAGTTATGAAGCTCAACTATAATCACAACCCTTTGTTTTGATCTTTTCCTGAAAACCGCCATTCAATACCCTCGTCTAGTTTCTTTTTCTTTTGTTTTGGGATTTAAAAAACTATATATTTTTAAAGATTTATTTATTTATGTATACAGAACTGGGGTACAGGCCAGAGATGCATGGTGTGAGAGGATTCACCAGAGACAGAGTGGGAGCAGAACAGGCAGATCAATGAAGTACACTGCTGAGGGGAGCAGCGGTAAGGCAGGAGAGAGAGGTCTGCTGTGCCCTGTGGGTCACCTCCCAGGGCAGGGATCAAACGCTCACTGAAGTAGCTGAAGTTAACTTTCAGTGCTGTGCTTCAACTTGTTGCACCACAAGGGAGGACATGGGGTTTTTCAAAAAGAAAAGTTCTAATCTTCTCTTTTTCTTTTTAATTAGCAGTCAGAAATCAGCATTTATATTCTGAGTTTCACTTATATGTAAGATATAGAGAAACCATTGTCAGGGGAAAAAGAATAAGACAAAACTTGCAAGCTGACAATAGATGTGTGAGGCATACAGCAGGGTGAAGGAGAGGGGCCAAAATAAGGGAAAAGGGTCCTCTCTGGTGGCACAATGGGTTAAAGCACAGCACTATGGAGTTATCACAGCAACTGCAGCATGAGTGCGATCCCTGCTCTAGAGGTGACCCACATGGTGCGGCAGACCTCTCCTGACCCGCCCACTGTTCCCCTCAGTAGTGTACTTCATTAATCTGCCTGTTCTCCTCCCCACTCTGTCTCTGGTGTATTCTCTCACCCCCTGCACCTCTGGCCTGTATCCCAGTTTAAACAAATCTTTAAAAAAAAAAAAATAGGGGAAAAAAAAGCACAGGGAACTGTGCTATATGGTAGTGAGATAACTACAGGGACCACACCAGAAGGGAGAAAGCAAATATTCTCCAAAATAACAAAGATGTAAGTTATATGGGTGTGAAATAACTACAGGGACCACACCAGAAAGAGAAGTCAAATATTCTCCAAAAATTAACAAAGTTGTAAGAAAATAAATAAAACATTACATCTAAAAATAAAAATATAAGAAAGTAAGAAAAACAAGCAGGTTCATATTTTATCTTAGTGAGGGTTTCTATTATAATCTACTCTCCTGTCAGCTTTTCTGCCAATTCTTGTGCCATCCAGCCTACCTCAACCAATACTTTTCTCCTATTACAAAAACTGCAAAAACTTTTTTAGATTAATCTTGTGCAATCCCTACAAATAATAATACATGATAGTAAAAATATTAATAGTAAACTTATCAGAATTATAAAGAAATGAAATAGCAATTAAATTTTCTTTAGTTTTGAGAAAGGCACATAAAAGTCAAATAATCCTTATTTTATAAAAACCTTCAACAGAAAGTTAAAAATTTTCAATTAAGACGGTGACTTAACATAATGGTTCACTAAAGGAGGAGAAAGAAAAGTGAAAAGATAAGAATATACAGAGATGAATAGAAAACTGAGGGGGATAAGGAAACTGCAAGACATGAAAAATACAAGTGAAAATAAATTTCACTTTTTAAATAATTGTCACATCCGAAGTCTCCCATACTAATGACTTCTGATAAGCAAATTCATCATCTATAAAACTGATGCTTAAGAGTGGGACAGGAGCAAAGGTTCCTTAAAAATTCTGACATACTAGGACCCCAACAGTGTTAAAGTCAATATATTTACTTGGAATATGAGTTTTTATAGCTGATTCCACCTGATTCATCTTTTCACCTCCACTTCCCCGTTAAGTTTTCTGTGACTATTTTGAAAGAGAAATCACAATCCACTGGGGGGAATTTCTTCTCAGAACGCCAAAGGCAATGATCACAGCAACAGCAACAGTTCTAACTAGAAGAACCCCAACCCTGATCTTTAAAGTCATTCTTAACACTGCAAGTAAAATTAAATTCTTCAATTGTTTCTTCAACCAACGCTTCCAATCCCACTCTAAGCTGAAAAAACTTAACTCAACCCACCTTATCTTCAAGTTGTTTCTCTACTATCAAATTCAACTCCTTCCAAAAAGATATTGCCAGTAAGTTTTAAAGTGAAAAAAAGAAAACTGGCAAACATTACATAATTTTCTAAGATAATTTTGTAAAATATACATAGATATACAAATTGGGAAAGAGAACACTGAAAATCAAAAAGTTAAGAGATTTTCTTTGGTTGGCAGGGTTAGATGATTTGTGATTTGGGGTTTTTATTCTTTGCATATTTCTGTTTTCCCATTTATTTGCATTTACACTATAATTACCAGAAGTCAATAAAAACTAAATATATGGAACTGTTTTCTAAAGTTTAGAAGAGTTGTTATTATCAATAAAAGTCATTTTCACATCCGTTGTTACCCCTGAAATCTCTCTTCTTCACAGTTCACTAGATACATTCACACTTCTACAAACAGTGCTTTGTATATTGACATTAGTTTGTTTTAACAAGGGCAGAGAGCCAAATATACCCACAGTGTTTACAACCAGACCTACAGAGGATATAACTTCTAAAATTTTAAATATTACTAAAAATTTAAAATAGTAGAAATTATGATGATCTTACTCTATGTTGACAAAAACTAATTTTTCCCCCAAATAGTGATAGTTCATAAAATAGGATCAGAGATGCTCAGTATATAATAAAAGCTTACCAAAACAAAACCAAAAAGACAGGTGGGACTTTCCTAGATGAATGAGTCGACCTTTCCTTTGCATTATCTTAAATATTATGAGTTCCTTATGTTAAAAGCCTGCTTATACAACTTCTACTTCAGATAAAACATATTTCCCATACATAATCATGCCTAGTCAAGTCACAACATTTGTGTATAAATGGTGAAAAAAAAATTAAGAAAACTGTTTTGAGAATTTTTAAATTTGCCATCTAATAAAATTTTAGGTCTTCACTAGTCTAAAAGTTACACAGTTCTCTTTGCTAACTCTTAATTCCTCTGTGCAGACTATTAGAAAACCTGAAGAAAATTATTTAAAGTTTAAATCTGGAAATAGCTTTTAAAAAAGATTTTATCAAACAAGAATTAACTATTTCTGAGTATCCACTGTGTAAAAGCATCACAAAGATTAACTCATTTGCTTTGTAAGATAAACTCATGGAGGGACATTCAGCTTAAAGTGTTCCTTGAGTCTATAACCCCCAAACTGCAACCCTAAGGTCCCAAATAAAGATTTGCTATAATACAAAAAAAAAAAAAGAAAAGAAAATTACTATTCATTGTGGCATAGAATAGAAAATCAAGGTTTTGAGAAATTAAATAACAATACCAAAGGACTACATCAAAAAGCTATAAAGCCTAATCCCAACGTTCAAATCTTTTCAGCTCCTCATAATCTTCATATAAATATGAATACAACAGACCAGCACATATATGAGACTAACTAGTTTCTTAAGTTATAATCTATGATAAAATATTATAATGACAGAAATGGCAAAATTACCTATTCCATAACG